GACCGGGCCTCCCGGCGTGGCTGTCCCGTACAACCCCGGGCGGGGAGGGGCGGCCCCGGGCGGTGGGCCTCGGCTGCCCCTCCCCCCCGCCCCGCGGGGCCCTCGGAAGGGAGCGGCAGGGTGAGTAGCCTCGACCTTTTGCAAAAGGGTTTCTTACCGGGAATCCTGACTCGCAGACATGATCCTTAGAAACTAGGGCGGAGTGCCCGCCTATCGACAACTTATAGAGCGCCCGACCCCGCCCCAGACATCGCATTGGCTTGGCCGCCTCGGCCCCGCCCGCCAGCGCTCAGCGACTCGGCGTGACGTTAGGTCGCAGGCGCTCCGGTACGCCCCCACCATTGGACAACCTGAACGCCTATCAAGGTGAGGCCCCGCCCCGCAGCCCCATTGGCTGTGGGGCCCGCCTTTCTCGCCGGTGCGGAAGTGACATACGGGAGCCAGGCCTCGAGGCCTGGCAGCCATCTTGGGGCCCAGCGCCCCTACACGTGCGGAGGCGAGAGCGCCCGGGTCATGTGGCCCGGCTGGCCCTATCGCGCGCGAGGGGCGAGGCTTCAGCCTCCAGGGACTTCCGGGCTCCCGAGACGGCCACTTCCCTTCGCCTCGGCTCCAGGCGCGCGCCGGACCCACAGTTTAGTTTGTCGTCTCCTGCAGCAAAGGTAGACCGGACACCGCCCCGAGCGTGCGGGGGACGGTGGAAGCAGGAGGCGCGCCCCCGGCCACGGGCAGGGCGGGGAGGAGAGGGGAGGGGAGCCCCCGCGCACCTGGGGGTGCGGCCACGAAGCTCCGTCCTCCCTGAGCTCCCCCGCGGCCCCTTGCAGCCCCGGCGTCCCTGCGGGAGGGCTTCGTCGGGGGGTCCCCAGGGTCTCAGCACCTCCGACAGTGACTGCCGAACCCGAGCCTGACAGAAGGAAGACCAGCACCATGTATCTCCAAAGGATCCTTTATTGACCAGAGCAGGACCGTGGCATTTATATATATATATAAAAAAAAGTTTGAAGACTGGCAGGCAGTAATCCCCTTGCCCGCCCACCACCCCCAGCACAGATTTTCTCGCCCCCGCCCCTGCACTCGGAAGGGGGAATGACCGCCCCACCCAGGCCCCGAGGCCAAACTCCGCCCCTGCAGACGGAAAAAGAGGCTGTTCCATGGCCACCCCTGAACATCAGAAATCAACAAGTATTCTCTCAAAGAAAAAAAAATACAGAAATCAAAACATTTAAATATGAAAAACCAAAGGGAATTGGGATGGGGAGAGGCAAGAGAGGAAAGGAACTGGAGTTTCTTGGGAAGGAAGGGTCCCCTGTGTCCCCATGCCCATTGATGAATGGGCTTGAGGCCTGGGATACGAGGCTCACACAGTGAGTTTGCAGTGACACAGCTCCTTGTAGATCTGCCGACGAAGTTTGGGCATGTCCTGCTGGGTGAAGCTGAATGGCTGAGACAGGGCCAGGTGCTTGCAGTACTAGGTGTTAACAAAGCAGGCCGTGAGAACCACCTACTGAGCAGCCCCCCAAGTCAGGGCCTGTGCTACACACTTCACAGGAGCCATAGCCATCTCACTGGGCCTTTCCAAGAGCTTCCACTTTTCACAAAGGGAGCCAAGGTCCCACAGCCTGGGGCTCAAAGTCTGGCTAAAGTCCTTGTTCTTGGTACCTGCACTGGGGGGTGGAAGGCAACTGTATTAGAGAGCCAGGGCCCCAGGACCAAGAGGCCCAGTCCCAGTGGGGGCTGGGGCAGCCAGAAGAGGACCAAGGAACGACATCGGCAATTCTGCGTCCTAACACGCAAGGTTACGCCCTGCTCCACCAGTGCCTGTGAGCCAACTCAGGGAGGCCGAGTGGTCTCCCGCCTCCGTCCCAAACCGGTAACCCGACTGCTATCTGCTTACCTGTAACACAAAGGCGCCGCAGTCACTGTCATTGTTCTGCCTGGCCACGTTCTAGAGAATAAAAAGAAGGGCGGCCCTTCACCTGGAGGCTCCTAGGGCTGTGGCTTCAACTCTGCCTCCTGCCACACCTCTCGCATCACCCAGTACCGACCCCCCCGCCGCCCCAACCCTGGACACTTACCATCTTGAAGTAACCTTTCCAGCCCTGGTGGAAATCCAGCCGGTCTTTCTTCACTGCCTCTGCCTGCAGGTACTTGGCAATATGCTACAGAGACAGGAACGGAGGAAGAAGTAATGCCCCGTTTCCCAACTGAACCCAGGGTATGGTGCTCCCCGCACCGAGCCCGCCCTTCTGCCCAGAATGCCTAGCCCCTGCACGTCCTCCCCACATGCTTCCCGTCTGCCCCCCTCCCCTCTCAAACCTTAGGGCAGCGGCGGTTTAGGGTGCGCTGCGAGTCAAAATAGGTGATGGTGCGTCGCCTCACGTCCACAGAGATGAGGGACCAATGCACCTCCAGGTGGATGGGGATCAGCAGTAGCTCCTTATTGAAGATGTCCACCTAAAGGGGGGGCGGCGCCAGAGGTCAAGTCAGGCAGTGCGAGGGTCCTGCCCGCTGCCAGGAGGGTCCTCAAGAGGAGCAGAGGCACGGGCAAGGAGCCAAGGGGCAGAGCACAAGGCCCAGCCCTTCCACTGTTAAGGCAAGGGTCAGCGGACGCGGCCTCCAGGGCTGAGGAAGAAGGCAGCTCAGAGGAGACCGTGGCCCACTGCGGGGCCCAGGAAGACCAGGTACTCTCCACACCGCAAAGGTGCAAGTGCTAAGTAGCTAAGAACCCAGGCTTAGGACTGCGGAGCCAGACGGCCGGGGTTTAAATCCAGCTCCTCTGCTGACTAGCTGGTGACCGTGGGCAAGCTACACAATAAACTCTCTATGCCTCTGTTCTCTTACTTGTAAGAGGCTGAAAGCAACAGCACCTACCTCATCTGTTTGTTAGGAGCGTTAAAGTAGTTAACATCCATAATAGGCTAACAAGAGCGGCATGGTTCCTAGTCAGGGGTCGGCCAGTTAACACGACAGTCCTACGAGGAAGTGCTCACGGTCAAGCTAACAGCGAGCTAACTGCCGCTTGGCAGAGTAAGGCAGCTTGCTGAAGGTCACAGAAGAAAGGACACTGGTGGGATTCAAACGCCAAGTATGCAGAAGACCAAGTTCTTTTCACTGTGCGTCACCCCACCTCTCCTGGGAGAAGCAGGCCTGCCAGGTCACTGAGGGGGTAAGCCCCCGAAGCTGGGGGCCGAAACTGAGAAGTGCTGGAGCCACTTAGTGCTCCTACCTCACTGTAGAAATTTCCTGGCCTTTGAACTGGAGGGCAGGGAAACTAACTAGAGGGGAGAAAGGAACTCTTTTTTCCCCTCACCAAACGTGCTCCCTCCTAATTCTTCTCCCCAGTAACTTCCGCCACCAACCCAGGCCTCCCCGATTCCTAGGTTTTCTTCATTCCCACGACCAACCCGTCAGAAAACACTATCAGTTCTGACCGCAAAACCTATCCTAGAGAAAGCTCCTCCTACTTCGGCCCTTAGCGCCCTGGCCCACGTTTCTCATCTGGACTTCCGTGCTCCCCTCCTAGTCTGTCTGCTTCTACTCTTGCCCTGCTTCCAATCTTCATGAAACAGGAGTTTAAAACGTGAGGGACTTCCCAGCCTTCTTTAAAACTTCAGTGGCTTCTCGGCGCACATAGAGTAAGATCTACCCTCCTCAGCTTCTCCTCCATCCTTACACGATCGACTCTCTGACCGAATGTCTTACCAATATTCTCTCCACTCACTCTGCTCCAACCACAGGACACCCACGTGGGCCTTCGGTGCCTCACACGCCCTTTCTCACCCTGAGTCCCGTGTACTTGCTATTCCCCTTGCCTAGACTACTCTTCCCCCAGATCTGCACACGGCCAGCTCCTCGAGTCTCAGCAAAGAGAGGCCTTTCCAGACCGCCCAATCTAAAGGACCCACCTCCCATGCTACTACATTACCTTTTAATCCCAGCACCTAGCACTAGCTGGAGTTTCACCTGCTTATTTACTCTTACTCCATGAAGGCAAGAAGGTCTCCTTACGTAACACTGAATCCTGAGTACCCACAGCGGTATCTCACGCACACACAAGACCCTTAAGATCTGAAAGACTGAGTGAGCAGGCTTGAGGAAGGGGCTCCTAGGAAACAGAACCCTAATGCTCTCCAGGCAAGGTGTTACACAAGGAGATGTGAATTGGTAACTCACGTTTTTGGTCCACCTTTTCACCCCGTCGTAACCCTTGGTGCGGAGTTTGTCGTAGAAGAAACTGTTGAAGAAATGCACCTGTACCAGGGAGATACAAAAGAGCCGGATGGAATTAAGGAGCCCCGGCTCTCCTGCCCAGTCTCCTCCGCCCGCGCCGCTCCGTTTCATTATGGCTCCAAGGGCCAGCTTCAACACCCTCCACTCCCAATTCACTGAGGGTAAAAAAAACCACATCCTTTTTAGCCTTCTTATTGCTTCCCATCCCATTTGTGGAGTTAGCCACAGGGAAAAAAAACTACCCACTGGGGGAAGAGAATAGGTAAGTTCAGGACCAAGATTAAAGATCTGAGGGGCGCCTGGGTGATGCAGTCGCTTAAGTGTCCAACTCTTGGTTTCAGCTCGGGTCGTGATCTCGGGGTCAAGAGACTGAACCCCTCGTTGGGCTCCAGCTCAGCACTGAGTACGCTTGAGATTCTCTCTCCTCCCCCCCCCCCACCTCACTTCATCTCTCTCTCAAATAAGTCTTAGGGGCGCCTGGGTGGCTCAGTCGCTGGGCGTCTGCCTTCGGCTCAGGTCATGATCCCAGGGTCCTGGGATCGAGCCCCACGTCAGGCTCCCTGCTCAGTGGGGAGTCTGCTTCTCCCTCTCCCACTCCCCCTGCTTGTGTTCCCTCTCTTGCTGTGTCTCTGTGTGCCAGATAAATAAAATCCTTAATAATAAAAAAAAATTACAGATTTGACTTTAACAGGCTGCCTCCTACCACCTCTCCCCAAAAACAAAGATCCTCTTTATGGATCAAGTGATACAAGGGACTGAAAACGCTGCTTAGAACTGCAGACATTCTTCTGGGGACCGAGGTACCGGTGAGGCCTACCTTTTCAGGGACCGTGTCCATGACCAGGTCTCCATACATGTTCATCACCTGGGGAGAAGACGGGAGGCAACTTGCCATGGAGAGTGCAGCATGGGTACAGGGCTCCCCCAAACAGAGGGCCCCAGACACCCTGCTCCCTAAATCCCCTTTGGGGCCCGTGTCTCCATTGCTCCTCACCTGGTCATTGAGCCAGTTCTGTCCAT